AGAGAGAAAAGATGACTCATTAGGCAGTGACACTGCAGAATTAGGAAACGATGGTGCAAAATAAAACAGAAAAGTGCTATTTCACTCCTCACTTGTACCCTGGTTGCCTCCGAAAGCCATGAGAACACCCTACGCAGCCTGGCTGAGCTGTAGAGAGATGTCTCAGTTTCTCTGGACAGGAAAAAAAAAAAAAAAAAAAAAAAAAGAGAAGAGAGAGAAGAAAAAATGTTTTCTTTAAAAGTACAGTGTGGAAAAGGAAGTTGCTACTTGAAATTTCATCACAGGTCAATCACTGCATTATATCCTGGCACTTATTTTTAAGCTTCTACACTGTACTTGCTTTTTAGAAAGTGTTTTGCACTGTAGCTGGAAGGCACTGAGTCAACAGAAAATCCCCAGAAGGCTTTACCTCAAAGTCGCTTTATCCTGCTGTTCTGGATAGAAAACAAAATCTATTATTAAAAGCTGTATTTAAAAAACTGGACTCTAAAATGGATGAAAATATGACCGTATGCTGGATAAAAAATGTCAGGCATGTGTGTTAAAACAGCATATTTCTCTTTGTGTGGAAAACACTAGCATTCAGTCAGATTTATGCCCAGAAATTTATGAGATCTCTGCAAAGCAAGATGTAGGCACCACTTGGCTCTTCCCTCTAGGATTGACACCCCTTGTCGTGTTGATCCCAGCAGTGCTAGAAGGGAGATGCTGCTGTGGAGTGCAGAGGATGAGGAAGGAGCCCTCTCGGTCCAGCCTTCCCTTCTGGGTCTCATGGCAGCCAGGAGCTGGTTTGTCTCTCATTCCTTGCAGCAAGATGAGAATGTTTAACACTGTTAATGTTTAATAAGGACAAGTGTAAGGAATGCTTAACAGTGAAAAGCTTGACTAGACTTGAATAAAAATTCCTCCTCATTTGTACGGCGAGCAGGATTTCTGCATGACTTGGTTTTGTTGTCACAGGAAATGATAGAGCTCGGTGCATATTAGTTATGATCTTCACCTAAGTAAACCTGAAATAACGTCTTACTGAATTGTGCCAGTATTTGTAATAATTGAGATCATATATATAGCTGACTGACAGCCAGATTTCTTGCTCCACGTCTCCATGGGTGTACGTGCACACATTCCAGGAGTCCTTTTGCATTAGGTTGCTGTCATATTATTATGATTCAGGTAGGATGGTCCACAGAATAAGAATAAGCTGAGCAAAAGCCATGTAGCTCAAATTCCTCTGTAGGTAATGGAGAGAAAGAGTTGCCAGATAATGAGACAGGTCTTAGATGCAATGAATTGTCACTCCTCCCAGGAGGCACAGCAATCCTGTGGTGGGCTGGGGAATGTGGACCAGTGTGTGTTAGGAGGATGAGTGAGAAAGAAGAGACAGAGGAAGGTGCTAGCCTGTCTCACCCTTGAACGGTTACCCGTGCTCTGCACGCCTTCCACTGCTTTGCTTAACCAACTGTAAATGACTCGGATGACGTGGCTTTAACCCCTGTTTCTTCTTTGATGCTCAGAAGGTCTGGGGACTTTTCTGGAGCCATCAGGGTAATATTTCTACAGGGTGGAGATGACGTGCAAAACCTTCCATACCTCTTAGGGCCTCCTGTGAGACTGTGCTGGGTAAATGGAGAGTGGTAGGAAGCCCTGGAAGGGGTCATGCAGAGTACTGTGTTGGCAGCTGCCCAAGAATAAGCCAGAAATTTCATATCTTGCCACTAAATGTGTTTTATACCATGTCTAGGCCAAAAATATAAAAACCTCACCCTACAGAGTAATGGATATACAGAGAATGCCTGGAGCCCTACGCTCTTCCTTCAATTGTGAGCGTTGATTTTTCTTTCAAATCACTTACGTGGCTACACTAAATTTTGGGTGGGTGATGAAAATTTAATCTGTATTAAACAATCTTCTTTAACCTGGCAGGTAAACAAATGCATTATTAATGCAATCTCATGTATTTCCTTAATGTGCATGCTTTATAATAGAAGAATTTAATTTTTTTCTAAGTTTTATAATCCAGCTTTGTATAAAAACATTCTGTTTGGTTGCACCAGTCACATTCTATTAGGCAATATAACACGATCTGATTTAGTGGCATTTCAGTGGATAATATGACAAAAATTGTTTCTTTTTAAGAAAAAACTATAACCAAAACAAACACAAGAATGAGCATTACAAAATTGTGACATGCTGAGAGAAAAGCCCCACAGATACAAAATGATAAAGGTCAGGATCTGTTACTCAAGTCTTGTTTGCAAGTAAAAATACCATACTAACGTGTGGCTGTCAAAAACCTAAGCGAGCCAGACAGACTTCTGACAAATAATTTTGACAGTTCTCATAAGCTGAAAAGTGCCTTTTTTTGCCTCTCTTGTCTTTCGAAATGTTTCCCTCCTGCTTACAGATGTGCAGAGAGAAACAGAGTTTGCAGAGACACTAAAACAACAGGGTGCTGTTAAAAATAACCTGCACCACGCGCTGTCTTTTTTGTGCTCTCTGGGGAATGCATTAACTGTCAGCAGTCTTAATTTACTGACTAAAATCCCTGATTTTGCAATATACAAAATGATTTGCTTCTCTTTTACAAACATTTTTCTTCATACATTATTAATCAAATTAGAAGATGTTCCCTGTTGATTTCATGTTTTGGGCAGAATTTCATTCTGGTTTAAAGGAGACTTTGGTGAAGGTAAGCAGAATAAAGAGTTGAGTACATCACAGAGCCAAAAATGCATCCACTTCTGCAATTCTTTTGTAACAGTAAAAAAAAAAAGAAGAACATTTTCAGCAATGCAAAAGAGAAACACAGTGAATTGCAGGAAAATATGTTGTGGCAAGGTTTTTTGGGCCTAGATAGAATATTCAGCCAGAAAGACACACCTTAAAACACCCAGTGCTTAGGGTTCTCCAGAGCATGGAACCTGCTTGCAGGAGAACAGGGTTGGTGACCCAAATCGCCTATATCCTAGAAAAAAATATTCAAAGCCTCATATTTTTCAAGTTGAAGCTCTTGTTTTCTTGGCTGGTCTTAGGAAGCTGCCCTACAGATGTGCACGTTGTATTGTGTAGCTGGAAAACACCATGAGATTCAAATGAGAACTTTGCTTGCTCATTGAGTTACTAGCATACTGAAGCAAAGGAAAGACCTACTTCTCCTGCTTGTGTTTATCAGACTGTGCTTTTGGCAGAAGGCTGTGATGTTTTCCTTATGTTATCACTGTCATCCTGCTGCAAAATCTTTGAACCCTTTTCCATACAAAAGGGCCGAACAGTTGCAAAAATACAGTCCAGCTTCCTATCAAGAATTGCTATCCTGTATAAATGGGATCTTGCATTCTAAAGCTGGCAGACCTTAGCCTTAAGGAAACCGTATTTTTCAATTCAAATATATCCATATTCTCATTTGCTTACACAGAGTCTGTTCAGTGGGGAATTATCTTGTTAAGATCTAATCGCGTACAGTGTATGTGTGGTGTAAATATACAGCCATTTAAAATTCAAATACAGAACGTGGAGGTCATTGTAGGGAACTTCTTTGCCTCAGCAAGTGTGAATGAATTATGAGGCTGCTTTCATTCTTTCCTCACTGTTCACATTACTGTTTGCAGCTGGGAGCTATGCCATAAGTTACCTTTATATTAGCATTGAAAATTCCAAGGCTTTAAAAACAAAATATTTCTTCTTCTTTTACTCCCAGTTTTATTTGTAGGCTGTAAAAACATACAGTGTGTCTGTTGATCAGAAACTGCTTGAGATGTTAGAAATCTGGTAAGCTAAAGTGCATGCGGTGTAGTGTGGTTTGGAAAAACAGAGACCCCAGGGATTTGACCTCAGAGGTCCCTTCCAACCATGGTGATTCTGTGATTTACTGGTCCCTGACCTCTGTGGTGTGAATGGTTATTTTTATGTTGCCCATCAGACTTTTGCCAGATGACTGTGGGGCTTGGATGGGTGGAGAGGACCCTGTTCCCCTGCTGGGGTTTTTTAGCAGAGAAGCTGCTCTGTCTGTGGGGAGCTGTAGGCGTAGGAAAAGCAAGTGGCTGGTGAGGACAGGAAGCTGCAAACCAGCTGCAGCCCTGCTGCCTCCCCTGCCTGCTTTTCAGCCCTTTGCCTTTAGGTCATTCTCCAAGGGGGTTGGAAATATTGTATATTGTAACTAAGCTACTGGATAAAAAAAATAATCACGAGTTCCTGAGCTTTGGTGGTAAAACCTACACACTCCTTCCAAATTCCCAATTCTGCTACTGTTGAGGAGTGGATACAACGCAAGGGAACTCTTTGGTCTGTCTCAAAGGTGATTTAATCCTTCTACGAGGTCTGTGAGATAGCTTTACCAGCAGCGTAAACAAATATAGTTCTGGGTCCCTGGTTACTCCACTTGCCTTTTTTTTTTTTTTTTGTTTGATTCCTGTTTGTCATTGCAATCCTCACCTGTTTTACTAGTGACATAAATTTATGTGTAAGCTTATGGACTGTGGAACCTCGTTTTTTGGTAAAAGAAAGAGGAAGTGTAATGCCGGCTTGTTCGCATGTTTCAATAAGTTCACGTGACAGCTGTACCTGCTCATACCAACATCAATTTCCACCACCCCCTTCACCCTGGAAATTTCAAATACTCCTGATTTTGCTTTCATGTTGTCTGTATCCTGTACTTTATACTAAGGGTAAGACACAGGCAAGCATGCAAAATTGATGTTTTCACTTCTTGCCAGATTTTCTAACTAAAAAGGATTTCCTCCTGGCAGTTCTATCTCCAGATATTACCACCCCATCTTCTAAAATTGTAAAAGCCCCTATATATTTGATATCTTGTGGACTCTCACCAAGTTTCAAAGGGAGATTATACTTGCTGGGCAGGTTGTCGATAGAATATAAAATATGAATGAAATTGTAATTCTATGGCAGATACCGTAGCTGTAACTGTCACAAGCACCCTGTATCCTCAATGGCCAAATGAAAAAACAGTCTCTAAAAACATTTGATTGACTTTTTTTTTCCAGTTAAGCCAGGAAAAAATCCTCAAAATTATGAACATGGTGAAAAATAAAGAAGTGAGCATTGAAGGAGCTTTGCACTTGGCACAGAAAGAGGTGTATGCTGAAAAGGTAAGGTCATTCCTTTGATCTATTTTGCAAGACATTCAAATGTATGAGTGTGTTCTGGAAAGCCTGGCTGAGTGCTAGGAGTATGCCTGTATTGCTTTCAAAGATGCAGTCCCAACTTGTACAAACGTATGCACTCCAGTTTATTATCAAATACGTCAGGTACTGATGGCCAATGCTACCTGTGTCCTATGTAATGGGTATCTCAAGTACATGCTGCAGCTACACTAATGTCATTGCCGTGCTTCTGAGGAGAAGAATCTGGGGGTCCTGGTGGATAGTAAACTATCCATGAGGCAGCAATGTGCCCTTGTTGCCAAAGGGCCAATGGGATCCTGGGCTGTGTCGGGAAGAGTGTGGCCAGTAGGTCGAGGGAGGTCTAGGTCCCTTCCAACTCCAAAAATTCCATGATTAAGTTGTTTAAGTCTAGATCAGATGCATCCACATGAGTGCTGTTATTCTGAGTGCAACATCAAGTAATGTAACAATAAATGTAGGGCAAATCCTTGGGCTGATACCATGAATCACCACAGGAAAATGGTGGATCTAATCTCTGAGGTACCTCCTTGCGTTGAGTTGTCCTTAGGGCATGACTGGTAACCATAAGAGGTCTGACAATTCAGCATTATGCATGGCCACAAGAATGGCTGGCTACAGAGTGCAAAACCTTGGCCAGTGTGACTTCAGTTCTAACACTTGGCTCTGACCTTCCACTAGGCAAAAGTAGAATCAGTGTAAAGGTGGCTTAAAACTAGTTTTGGGTCCTACAACAACATAGACCAAGAGTTCTAGTTCACAGATTTCTTAAGAATCAGATTGAGAGACAAAAATTTCATTTTTCTGCTGTTAAAGACCTCATCTCTTCACTGACAATCAGAAGTGGATCATTAGCATCTTTCCATTTTATAGAAAGCATGGAAGTTCTTTCCTGAGAAAAGCAGATGTTGGTAAGGGTGAGTGGAAATAGTCAGAGAGCGCACTGACAATCAGAAGTGGATCATTAGCATCTTTCCATTTTATAGAAAGCATGGAAGTTCTTTCCTGAGAAAAGCAGAAGTTGATAACAGAGAATGGAAATAGTCAGAGAGCAGGGAGTACATTAATTGTGTACATTAGTACATCAGCCTTGTGCTCCACTCTGTAATCCCTGTCCGGTACCTCCCTCATTGCAATCTCTGTCCATCATCACCACAGAAGCACCAGCAGAGAATTCTTTGGAGAAAATTTCACTATTTATTTCTACTTCTGCTCTGGATTTTTGAACTAGCTGCCCTATGGGAACATCTCCAGGAAACAGTGAAATCTTATGAAGTGCTAATGGCACAATCTGAAATTTTTTTGCACCACAGGAGTGATAGTGCTTTTTCAGATAAACTTGGTGCTTTTTGGAATTTTTAAAAATAACTTTCTGAACTGCTTATTAACTTCTTGGCTGGAAAGAAGCAGAAGGAGAAGCAAAAATAAGGGCTGCAGTCAACAAAAATCTTGAACTCAGCAGTGTGAGATAACATGGAAACATATTCTTGGAATAAGAAGTGAAAGGGTGCCTTTTCTGCTTCTGCTGTGTTAAAATTTTGTGATAGCTAATTATTAGAAAAAAATCAAATTTGATATAGCTGGATCATGACCTTCCCTTCCCTGCATTTTTCTGAAGATAATAAAATTAGTCATTTTCCATGCACGCTACAGCTGCTGAAAGGGACCAGATAATAAATTGTATACCCTCATATAATATGAAGGAACAGAGGTCTTCCGTTTTACTGCACTACATTCAAGGGTCTGTAAATATTTTTCTTTAGAAACACAGATGATTCTTGTTTGCTGCTTAGCCCATTTAATAGATCACGTGTTTTGAAATGTGTTTAGTACAATTCCACGGACTCTACCCTTCTCCTTCCTGTCTTCCTACCTTCTGCTCTCCCACCTACCATCCCAATCTGTGATCCCTTCATTAGTTCAGCAGGAGTCGTGGATATTTTGTGCTTGTGAAAATCGGGTCAGGAGGATGCTTCCATGTGGAGTTCTTCTGCAAAGCCTCCAGCGTTGTTTGTACAGTGTTCACTGAGGGAGATTTCACCCAATAAAGCAATTGGATTTGAGTGGACAGAAAATAACAGTGTTGCTGATTCTTAACATATTGCTGATTTCTGTTCTATTTTTCAGGATCCACAGGATTTGCTAACTGGGTCACAGTTTAACTTCAGTATCTACAAATATAAACGCTATCGGTGGCAGAAACGAATTTTGCAGGTAACTTTAAGAATTCTCACTTTTAATATATAAAAAATATAGGATGCTTATATTGCTCAATAAATATTATGAGATTGATACATCCTGTAGTTGAGGAACCTATCAGAGAAGTACAAGATATTGACCAACTTTCTGCCTTTTACACCAACATTATTCTGGAGGTAATATCTGAAAATCCCTCTACTGGTGCTGTGGCAGGGCTGCAGAATGAATTTGATGATCTAAGAGGTTATTTCACCTCTGAGATACATGATTCATCACACAGATGATTGACTGATTATAATAGGCTGTGCCTGGGAGTTGTTCTTATTAGTTAGGAAGAGTAAATGCATACAAGTGATATAGATATACTTAAATATCTGTCCCTTTTGGCAGGGCATCACTTCAGCTGCACTCTCTAAAATCCTGGGAAGAAATGTTCTTGGGGATACTTAGAAGGTTCCTCTGGCAGACTGTGCATTTCACCTCTCGTTACTCTGTCCTGTGAATTCTTTTTTTGACATTATGAACAATTAAGCCTTTATTGGCTACGTCATAATGGGACAACTCTTGAACGATATTAAAGCAAACTTCTGTTGATAACACCTGATGGTGATTTCCTGATTCCATGAAGTGAGTGACAAAGGTTTCCATGTTGTTTCCAGGAACCTGGATTTCACTGAATTTTTCCTGCCCTTTGCACAAAATTTGATAATGACCAAGTCCAAGTCATATATGCTAGAGAGTGTCTTTCTGTTTACTAAATCTCAGTTGTAAAAAGTATAATCCCTGTATTTCCCTCAATATCCACCAGCTTTGGGAATTAAATAATTATTTGTTTCGACATAAAGCTGATGGGGAAAAATGGATAAAGCTATATTAGATGTGTAAGTTATCAGTGTGGGGTTCTGGAGCAGTTTAATTCCAGTTCTGCAATTACTAGCACCCTTCAAAGTCAGAGATAATAATGGGTATGCTTCTGACTTGGAGATTTCCTGCTATAAACAGAATGGAGGGAAAGGCCACAGTGTTAGCATTTGCTTAGCCTGGTCTGCACTATAGGAATGAAAGATGCCAAGAATCATTTATGACCAAAGGTAAACATCTAACTCAGGCAGGATCTGAGACTCTTCTGAGTTTTTCTTCTCTGTGGGTTGCGTTCACTGAAGCTGGGCAGTCAGATAATATTCACATCTTATTGTATCAACAAAGCTGTTTCTGCTCAGCAGGGACTGACACATAAGGCAGATACTGGAAACTGTCTGTACCAGTTTTTAACACTGCGGGTATAGATTGTGCAGTGGAAGAAGAATAATCTTATTTTGAAGTAAACAATTTTTAATTGTTATAGTTGTGAAACAGCAATAAAATAAATGTATTCCCTGTTATACTCACTCTCTTCACCTATACATACACATATGTGTATCTATATATGCAGTCAAAAAATCTGTGTTAGATAAGAGCTGAACCAAAATGCAGTAATATTTACAACAGAAACTAATCTCTCAATACTATCCTCTTTTCCTGACACAGAAGTGGCTGCTATAAAAATAACCACCTTCACTTCATTTTAGTACTGGGGCATAGGTTGAACCAGTTAGTAATTGAATCTCTGCTGAGATGATCGTGTCATTAGTTTGTGCTACCACTGCTGCTGAAGGGGAAGTTTTTGCACTGGGTTGTATAGGACAAGGAGAATTTAAAAAGAAATAATATTTCCGAATGATAAATTGATGCATATTCATCAAAAAAGATAAGGAAACACAGTTACAATAAATATGTTTGTTTTGTAAATAAGACAAATATTGTACAGTATCTTGATGATGGAATGACATTTTTTATTCTATCCATTGGCAAAATAGATACATATTCTAAGCTGGTCCTTTATCTAAATGCCCTTACATGGTAATACCGGGGATGCTGTCATTCCTTTTCAACGAGGAGAAGCGATGGATTCAAGTAATGAAAAACTTTCCATTCCAGATTGATTTCAACACAAAGACCATTTTTAACATTGAGAAAGGAATTATTAAGAAACAGTTCCCTTTCTCACAAGTCAAAGCCTGTGAAGATACTGAAAGGAGGCGCTTCAGCATTGTGTTTCATGGGCGACAAGATTATGAGCTGGAAGCAGTGTCTCTTGATGATAAAAGGAAGGTAAGATTTTACAATGTCATAGACAGATTGCTATAAATAACAGCTAATGTTATGGTAGTACCCAGCAGGTCCCAATCGTAAATGGGAATTGTTATGCTGTGCATTGTACAAGCAAAAAAGTAGGTATGTCTTTATTCTGTGTATGTTCGTCCACAGAACAAAAGGAATGTGAGTTCAGGATAAAGTTTGGCCTTAGGATTTTGCCACAGTTCACTAGGACTGAAGATGTAAAAGCCAGCTCAAAATGTGATATGAAAGCAGATGCCTTTCTTCAGGTACACCTTGAATATAACTAGTCTGAGATTGTATTTAAACAAGCAAACAAAACTGATGACATGCACAGTTGAACCTTAATTGAGATTTTCTAAGCAGTTTTTAAAATATATATATTTATTAAAATGCATGCTCTTAAGAAGAATGAATGATGCTGTGAAAAGACCTAGTAGTTCATCTCTTACTATCAAGATACACTGAAATTATTAAAAAGTTAAAAAACTTGAGTCATGATATTAGCACTAGATTTTCCCCTGAATGCAGATCTCCCCTGTGTTCAGGGGTGATCAAGTCTTGGAGTTTGTGTCATCCCATTGCTGAGATGCTGATTCCAGCTGCACAATTTAGAGAAACATACTCTCAAAAAACATGGAACGGTGATGTGACTCATTTTTAAGGGGCTTTTTGCAGAGGGATTCATCCCTTCTGAAATTAACGGTTCTCTCTGTGTGCGGAAACTTCTATCCCCGATGAACTGTACCTCATGGTTGATTAGCTAAAATTACAAATTAGATTTCATTTAGCAGAATGGCTCAAAAAGGCACATGTATTCTCAAGTAGGAACACTCAAATATGGCCTATGTAGCAAAAAGAGCACTTCAAATTCCCACCCACCTTAATCCATGCTATTTTCAACTGTAGGCAAGCCTTCATTTTTCTGCTGGGTTTGTTTGAGATTTCAAGCTAAAGCAATCAATTACCACTTGGACTTGAACTGAACAGAACAGAAACTTTGTCCTAGATTGCTTTGTATATGAATTAAAGAAGTAAAATTATGTTTTACCGTAACCACTCCAGAATAAAATTATTTTCTCCTTCCACTGACAGGTTTAGAACCATGGGCATAAAACCAAATTGCAGTTAAGTAGTTTAGCATCATAGACCCTATTTATTTTCCGCTAATTTATGTCACCTATTTGGCTCCTTCTCATAGTGTTGTCTATCATTTTTATACTTGAAAAATCCACCTATTAATGTCTTATTCAGGTGAATTAACATGGAAAATGTATTCTCTCTGCTGCCACTTATTATATAGATAATGTACCTTCTGAGCAAAGTTATACAGAGCAATTCATACAAGAGACCAGCAGAGTCCTGCTCTGGAAGACCTGCAGAATGTGATGTGATACATGAAGGACTGCTGGATTTGCAGCAAAACACTTTTACATCCACTGAATGGGTGAAGTATGAACAGCACTTTTGTAGACCTTTGGGTTGTAGATTTTATTAAAAATTCTGATAAGTACATTAAGATTTTAATTTGCTGATAAGAATCTGATTAATCAATTGCTTTTTCAAGTTAAAACTTAGATGCCAAATCTGCATGAGATGAAAACATTGAAATTAACTGTTAGTGCACTGGTGGTACACAATAAGATGAAGTTCTGATGTGTGCTAGAGACTATTGTGTGCATTATTAACACAAATATATAATGGTGATGGTGCTAAGAGTGATTTTAATGGCGGGACTTCTTTATGTTTACCTCTTTACTTTTTACTCAATTTTCAGCCATAGGGAAAAGCAGAAAAAGACTGGCAAAGCAGATAAGAAGTATAGGAGTCCTGCTAGAGAACATTGACTCATGCTTGCCAAATGGCTGCCCCAAAATTCATAATTCTTTCTCATAATGTTCTGCACTTCCCTCCAGTGGGGGATACCAACCATGGTGGCCTAATGGGATGGTGGTTTCAGAGACAGGAATCATTATTCAGTAGGAAATGGACTGTCACTACCATTTCATTCAGCCCCTAAACCATTGCAGATAAGCCTGACTTCTGCTTCTGCTAATTCTATTAGTGAAACAGCCACAATGATTTTACATAGTTTGCTACCCATCCTAGAGACAACCCACCCTTCCCCTGAGCCAGCTTCTAAAATACCTGGAAATTGCTTATACTATCAAAGGAGAGAAAGAGTGGGAAAAAAAATATCTGTCTACCAAAAACTAATAAAAAAAATTAACATTGTAATTATCTGCACAGGGCAATTATCTCAAAAGACTTCACAGTTCATAGAAAAGGATTTTAATTGTTTTTAAAAGGCTACCACTGTATGTCTTGTGAACACTATCCTCAAGTGTGTCCCAGGATTTGTTACTTTGCAACATTTAACAAGTTTGTTAACAAACAGAAATTGATTTTTATTTATCTTGTGAAGCAAAGCCCTTGTTGCTTTCTTCTTGATATTAATCCTCTCTTTTTTTTGGCAAAGTAAATAATGGTGGAAACATCTGGAGATCCGATTAAACTGTAAGTCCCTGCTTTAAAGAGAGGAGAGATCAATATAACTGCCAGCTCCATTAAACAATTCTTATCACTTTGACGGTTTATGTGGGAATAGATGCAATTTATATTTTACGTTTAATTCTTCTAGAGCAGCTAAACTTATTTAAATTCCTCATAGAACACCTTAATCAACCAGCCACACCTTGAAGAGAGAGTGGAGGAAAAGAAAGGTCTGATAGAACTGTCAGAATGATAAAGAAATGCACTAACCCTCAAGAAAAATGGGAATGCAAATGCTTAAGAAGAAAAAACTCCTACAGTAAAGCCCCACTTGTTGAATGTGGGGCCTTTGTTATAAGCAACAGAGCAGAATCCTAGAAGAGAGACTGAAGCAGAGCATTTTGCTCTAATAGAAGCTGTGTATAGAGAGGCAATTTGTGCCAGGATTAATTTATCATTTAAATAGGTAGTACCCACATTTTGGCACAGTCATTTCTGATGGAAGGCCTTGAGAGCAGAATACTTTGATGCCTTCCTGCCAAGTGACTCTCAGGAATGAGGAGGAACCAGAATCAGTCCTCATGGAGTTAGAGCATCTGTGGAGGCATTTTCAAGAGAGGGAGAGTTATAGGACTGTAAGGTTGGGCTCTAACTTACATTATGACTTATTTATAGCTTGGTGGCAGTAAAGCCTGGAAGACACAGAAACTCTGAAGCCTATGTGCTGCTCAGTCACATAGTGAATTCCTTTAAAAGCTTATAGTACAAAAGACCCACCATCCCAAACAAATGAGAGGAATAGAGTGGGAGGGACAGAGTGTAGCTAATGTATTAACAGGAATTGTGTGATTTTTAGTTGATAGTCAGATCTTCCTAGCTTTAGTACTCTCAACAGGCATGGCAGGCTGGAAGTTTGTATTTTATGTCACAGTTTACTTATGTGTCAGATGAGAATAAGAAGCCATTATTTCAAATGTTTTATGCTTTACTATTGGTACTTTTTGACTGTTCTGTGGGAGATGCTATAAAAATGTGGAGACTTATTGACATTAGAAAATGCTTTAACAAAGGCAAGGCTTGTGTAAATAAGTAGTCAGTGAAGAATGAATTGTATCTCCATTCCTTGTCCTTCAGGTACTTGGTACAACTACGTGAAGGAGAATTGACTTTATATTGCATAGGTCTGGGAGGAAAGAACAAGACTGCAGACCCTGTAACAAACACAATTAATTTGTCAGGTGGTAATGTGAGTGTCAGCAAGGAGAATGGATGCAGTACCTTCTCAGTTCAGACCAAAGAACACAGTTATTTGTAAGTATAGTTGGTAATTAATAATTTGTTAAAGCGGAACTACTGAAAACAAAGTCAAGCAACAGAGATTCTCAATGTCCCAGAATAAATACAACAGTGGAGAAATGAGGCCATCAGAATTATATAGATTACCCCTCCCATTGCTCTGCAGTGATTTGATGAGTTTTTTAAGGAGGAATCAAAAGTACCACATTGTGGAATTGAGAAGATACATTGAAATAAATACTGTCCACAAAGACTTGTCGAGTTCTTATGCCAGGGGCCAGCTTGGTCCAGGTCAGCCAGGACAGATGTGAACAGGTTCTGAGTACCTTGTGCAACAAGCATAGTAAGACGTAGCACATTGTTCACCTTCCCTCAAGGTGGAGAAGAGGAATTATGAGGTAACTGCACCACAAAGTCAATATATGGCAAAACTTCAGCTCTCTAACCTTAGACACGTAAGCAATTAACTCTGTCTGAAAAGGTCAGAGTCAGCACCACTGGCCCCCTTTGACAAGTAAAGCTGCTGAACATCATTCTGCTTAAATAAAAAATATCTCTGGCTGTATTAGTCAGCATGTTATTTACACTTCCTTGCATTTATATATGACATTCTTAAATTTCAGGTTTCGAATACCCTTTACTGTCCATAAGAACAGTACAGGGGATTTTAGCAAGCTCCGGAATGAATGGGTGTCCCTCATAGAAAGGTACTGTCAGCTGTGCAAGGGTGTCTCCCTGTCTCAGGAGGAATCTCAAGGATGCTCCTCCTCCGAAGCAGATTATGAGGATTTTCCTGTACCTCTGAATGAACAGAAAGAGGAGACACTCCACTTTGGTGTGAGTTCTGCAACAACCAGTCTGAAGAAATCTTCAAGCCCCCAGCCTGCAGAGGACGATGCAGCCCCAGCATCACCATCCCTTCCACTTCCCATAAGAAAGGCAGAGGTACCACCAGCCCCCCCTGCATTGCCGCCGCCCTGCAGCCTCTCTCCATCGACAAAGAGAACCAAAGCCTTTCACTGGGATGTTGTTCCTTGTGATAAGGTGAGGATGAAACTGATGGTAGCTGTTAATAAAAAAAATAATATTGTAGTCTGTATTACATGTATAGTTATTGCAAAAGTACAGCTGTCCCACAAAACAACCTGGATGGCTTTCTCTATGCTTGTATGGAACAAAGTGCCTCTGTTCTTTTGGCTTTTGGTTTACCCCATCACTCCTATATTTTTAGATTCAGAAATCTGTCTGGGGATCATGTGACCCATGCAAGAAAAAAATAGATGTATCCAGACTCTGCGACCAGTTTCAGTTCCAGGACGTGGCAGTATTTTCAGGCAATGAACCTTCAGTGAATCAGCACATCATGTTAGATCAAAAAATTGCGCATAACTTCAGTAAGTGTATTAATAAGAACTGTGTACTCCTATCTGGAAGCCTGGGGTGAGCACTGCATGCGTTTTCTATTTCTACTTTCTGCCAGTCAGTAGGCAGTGAGACAAGCTTGTGTCTAAATCATCTTTTAATTCAGTGCCCCTCTACTAATTTAGTAAAATACATCTCATGGCTCAGTTGCTATAGATGTGGTCCTTAATGATGAAGAGTAGAAACACCAAGCTTCTCCTCTTGTACAAAACATCTGGATGTGCCATTGAGCTATAATACTGTTGACTTAGGGCAGATGTGTAAAATCATGTATGACACCTGTGAAATCAATGTTAAGATGCTGACTTCAAAGGCTTCTCAAATTTTGTGGGCTGTCCAGGTGAAACAAGTCAACAGAAACAGCTTGGTGGCTGGAACTTTGAGTGCTGTGCTCAGGGTCTGTCCTACATTGAGTTCAAGTATATTGAAGGTTCAAGGTGTCAATTGGTTGGTGTAAGAAGCCTTTGAGGCAGCTACAAGTCAGGTGACAGAAATTCTCTTGGGCTTTCTCTAGTTGATAGCTTAGACTGTGAATGGTTGTCCTGAATGATCATGAACAGGATCCTTCCCTCTCATATCCCAGGTATGATTTTGCCAAAGGCCTGACCTAGAACAGTCTTTCACAACTAACAAAGCAGTTCAACACATAATTCTGGTCTTACTTACATGTTGTAAAGGCCTTTCAATTATTTTCATGAGAAGTGGTAGATATTAAAGGAGCAAGAGTAATTGTTCTTCAAAGGCTACTCTGATTTCTATTACAGAGATGGCTTTCCAAAAAAGTTCTATAATCTAGAGAGGTTTTAAGAAATGTTACATGTGTAAAGAATTTCAGGCAGTTAATTTTGAAGTTTTAATGATTTCATCTTTGTGAATATTGATAAGAAATAATATATTTTGGAGACTGTGTAAAGTTTTAATTGGAAACTGTATATGGAGATAGCTTGTTGGAATTATTGCATCCATTGACTAACAATTTGAAGGGTTAAAAGGAAGGGAGTGATACGAAAGTGCTGTTGTAGATAAAAAGAATTCCTTAATAGGACTTTTATCTACTAAATTATTGCAGTTTCTTTGAGGAAATTTCTTTCTTTTGGTTTGCAAATAGCACCCTTCTTCCTTTTGATCCTATTCCTCTTACAACTTTTTTCATTGAGACCTTCTACATCCGTTTCTTAATCTTATCCTTAAAGTCCCATCAGTGAGATTTTTGGCGTACACTTATTATAACGGACATTACTTAGATCAAAAGCTAATTTGATCCTGAGAATTCTGATTAATCTTCCTACAAGTGCTGCAAACCACAGTTCTTAAATTATTGAATAAAAATATGAAACTCCAAAATGCCAGTAGGTTAAAAGTTCTTGAGAATTTGGGTGGGTTTCTGAACACAAGAGAAAAATGAGAGTTCTGAGAGAAGATCTACACACTAAATTCAAGTCCAATGTATGAGAAAATACAAATAAAAGTGAAGTTACCTAGTCGATTCTGGTAGACAAATTTCTGCCATACAGAGAACAGGTATCAGAAAGAGAGAGACAAGAAAAACATCCTCGAATTTCCAATGAAAAAGTTTTGGGGGATGTGATAATGTATAGGTTAATCTAAGAATGTGGGATCTAGTGGGTGAAAGACTGATATAGGACTCAAAACACCAGCTTCAATGACTTATTGATCCCTGTTTCTCTGTATGAGACCCAGTTTCCCATATGTACAAGTCTTATTTTGCCGCGCAAAATGTTTTGGCAAAGTCTGATGACTAGAATTTATTCAGCTTCAACTACTGAAAATGTTAAAGAAAATATTAAATACTTTGTAGATAGGTTGTGAATATTTTAAAATCAACATTTTTCTATGAGTTATTCACTTTCTTACGGTCTGTAGACATCACCACACCTGAAGAGATACTTGGTTTAAACAGCATAGGGAAGTAAAAGGAATAAGGCATAAAAAGCATAAGAAAGAAAAAGGGAAGACTCTGACAGACTTAGCACTAAAGCCAGATCTTGTAACAAAATGAGAAGGATAGAAAATGTGTCAGAGGAAGAATAAATGGCCAATAGTCCATTGGCCAACAGTCTCCTGGGAACCATTAATAGCTGATTCGGGGCACAGAAAGATCCTATAACCTGAAAAACTCTGTTACTTCTTAGAATTGAAGAGAAAAAATAATCCCCTTGTGCTGCTCAGAGGAGATCTACTGTAGCAGAGACTCTAGGACAAGTTTCGTGGCAACACTGAGAAACATTTAAATCTTTTTGCTTCCTCTGCTGATGCCCTCTGTTCACTTCCTTGTGCTTCCTTTTTTACTTTCATCCTTTGGTAACGATGATGGAGACAGATAGTAATTAAAGAATAAGTGGCAAGACAAAGTAGTCTTTTTGGGAGCAACAGCCTTACAAATGGTTCTTCACCTGTTTGGAGAAGAGATGTCTTATTTATTTCCCTATTGTAATCAATATTATGATCCAGCCTCATGTCAGCACAGAAGTCTTAAACATTACCAAACCTCTTGATCAGATTTTAGTATATCAGACAGTGTGGAAGGAGGGAAAGGGGTACCTAAGTACCTTCTGATAACAGTATCTTGATAGTTGTAAGTATTGACTATTTTCTGACAGAAGTATATTTTTGCTTGACTACTGCTATGTATATTTAAAGAAAATATGAAGACCAATTTTTCGCCTTAGTATTAGAAGCTACTCTGAAAGGTGTGGGGTTTTTTTCTGGTTTGGGTTTTTTACTTTTTCTTTTTTTTTTTTTTAAATCTGAAAGGTAAATACTAAATGTTTTGGTGATTTTCCTTCCCTTGAGCATCTTCTTCCAAATAATCTAAGAATCATTTTCCTCCAGATATTTTTCTTAGAAGTTTCCGTATAAAACCAAGTGAGCTGAAAGAAAAACTATACATTATACATGAAGAGAGTGGTGGACTTACAGATGAGCAGATTACAGCACTCAGAAGGTAATCTTTGGGGTTCAATTGTTTGCTTATATGGTAACTTTTGGAGAAGGCATAATCTTCTGCAAATAATGCGAAGTTCAGGAAAGACACTACTGGGATGTTGGATCTATCCTCACTGTGAACAGAATATTCAGGTTGGATACAGAAATCTCAGTCTTTGCAACCGAGATTTTGGAATGTGCCCCCAGAATAACATTTTTCCCCATGTTGTGTAGGAAAGGGGATTGCAAGAAATGACAGGAAATCTGACATGATTATGTGAAGTAAATACAAGGAACAGCGTTAGTAAAAGAATAAGTTGGGGCAGTGAGCAGGTGTAACTTGATGAGAAAACTTCACATCTTCTCTTACTACAGCCTTACCATCTATTGTAGGATCAGAAGTGAAATACTGAATATTGGTTTGGAGAGGAGGAAGGCACATAAGTGTTAAAGGAGTTTTGTGGGATTATGGGATATTAAGAATATCGGTATTTCTGAGTGGGAGAGATTTGTGGGTTCAAAGCAAATGCAAATTTCTATACCTTTAAAAAAATTTAATTTCTATATTGAGAAAAATAGTTTTCAGGAGTGTAAGCAAACAATTGGCATTTGAAATTTGTAGGAACTGGATTGTATCTCTTTGAATAATTTAAGATAGAAAGAAAGAAAAGAGGTGGGATCCCAGAGTAGTATCTGTTATGCGTCCCAGTCCTCACGTGATACTTGTGCCATTTTATTAAACACGTTCATATGAAAACTTGATGTGAAACTTTTTCTTGCTTCAAAGTGATAAAAGAATTGAGTGTTTTGCTAAAACAATCTTGGAAAAAGATACCACTGGCAAAGACAGCGAGGAAGTAAATAACTGACTTCTACTTGTGGAATGAGTTTAATTTTGGCCTTAAAATCCTAATGGTGTAGAGCCCCACTGAAGGTAATGGAGTTCCATTGCCTTTTAAAAGCTGACCTTAAGGGCTTCATTCACAAAAGAAAGGTCTTACTGCAGTGCTGCAGTTTCTAATTGCATTGATGAAATTGGTCAGGAAGACAACTCAGTGACATGTCTTTGGACATCAAGAAAGCTCTCCAGTTACAAGTGTACCTATCTCTGGAGAAACAAAGGGTTGGAGCTGGCAGCAGTGAGGAAGTGCCTCCAGTCCTGCAGCCCCACAGAATGCCTGGGGTCTGGCCAGCCCCGTTTTCGAGGGCAGCCTCTGCTCACACCTCAGTTTGAAGGAAAACACTGAACACGCTCTGCTGTTCAAGCCCTGATCCAGCACTGCAGATTCAGTCCAAGATCTCCATGCTGTTGAAGTTGGTAACACCACTGTGATCACTAATTTATAGCATCTGGGCTCTTTGCCACCAAATGATAATGATGATGATAATAATAATAATAATAATGATGAAGGCAATGAAGCGTGAAAGATTTTATTTTTTTCCTAGAAGATTTCAGAGTCTTCCTTTGATAGCAATGATGCTGAGGAAATTTTTCTAGCAATCAAATGCGTAAGAGATATTGGAAGCTGTATTAATATATGTTATATAAGATCAAGGATTCTTTTCCTGGGATTCCTATTTATTGCCAAAATCTAGGAATACGTGTACAAATCTTGTAGTGAAAGGAAGCTAATTTTTCCCACCCCAACAGTTTTAAAAGTGTTACTGAAATAGATGAGACACGTTTCAGAATTGAGGGTTGGATTTCCAAGGCAGTTTAGTGTCTTATGGCTCCCATTCACACATCTCATCAAAGGAGCAGATGCTTATCTTGAAACATCAGCCCTCAGAAGTTTTCCCTGTACTTGACATGACAAAAGTAGCAAAACATTTAGCACTTCTGAAGACCTTTCCACTCGATTTAGGTGCCACGGTGGAACTGTGGCCTCCAGTTAATTGAGAACCTGTGGATAAGACAGAAGTTGAAATAGGATAGTCAGGGGCTGGAAAATTCTGCTCAGTGTCAATACCTGTCATACTGTCTAAACTGAGCAGGAAGTCTAAATTCTACTGTTGTAGAGTGAAAAATATTTAAGGCCAAAAACAAGATTACATTTTCAAGACTGTGACCAGGGAGCAAAATGTTCTGCTCGTTTATCCAGTGTAAAGTAGTGGAGGTGGTGGAATATTATTAGAAACTTCAGGACTTATTTTGATATGGAATCCTGTCCATAGTTGTCTGAATGACTCTTTATCCCTATGTCTTAAAATCAATAGCAAGGCACTCTTTGTCTCTATAAACTTAATTTTTCAGAACAGTGGGAGGTTTTTTTGTTGTACAAATTCCATAATAGTTGCATTCAAGTAAAAAGAAATTTACTGAATGCATTCACATATTGTTCTGCTTCTTTTTCCACGGCTTCCATTGTTTAATGCTTTAAGCTTTAAACCTCCAGGATAATCTGATAGTTTCATTTCATATACATAATACATTAAAACAATTTGATGGGATGTCAGACTTCTGATTAAATGAAGATATTTACTGTCAGCTTTAAAGAAAATGTTCTTTGAATTTCCACACAAAGTCAAATTATTTTTAATGATAAATAAAAACTCTTTCATTTGCCAACAGATAACTGTTATTTTAAAATGAGAATTCTTTTTTTTCCCTTGATGATGAGGGGCGATGAATGTAATATTTTGTAATCTGCTTTAATATAGATTTAATAATTCAAACCTCAGCAATTATTCAATTGAAATATCATATAAAATTATTGACAAGAGTAAAAAAAAATATTGTTCATACTGTATTTAAATGCAAAAATCTTTGCTTTATTTTTTCCATCTTTGAACGAATTCCCTTACTTTTAATGAAAATGTATATTTATCCGAATGAATGTTTAGTTACACTTGCTACAAATTTAGTCAATTGTTTGCAGAGAAAGAAGAGAAGATAGCAGACCTGAATACTTGTTTAAGATTCTTAACACTCCTTCTCATATGTTAGCCATAACATCCATTTCATTTTTCTTAAGATATGCTCTGAATTCCCATAGTGTATCAGTCAGACAAGCAGGAAGATCTCCAAAGGAGGGGAACTGTGGTGGTGTGTTTATTTTTTCAAGAGGAGGCATGTTTAAAGACATCGGTTTTCTAAAAATCTGTGTCTCTGGAGTAGTGTGGGAGAGTATTCTGTTCCCTTATGCAGAACTCTTGTTTCATGGGTGATTAAAAAAGTTTCAAAGGTAGGACCGTGGGGCCCACTGGTTAATCACACCATAGTATGAGTCTGCTCTGCTTTTGTGCTGTTTTCAAAGAAGTTATTTCTGGAGACAAGCAGTGCCAGCATGGCCATAACTGTTCAAAAAGTGCATATTGTTCTTAGGTGTTTTGGAAAGGTTGTCAGATATGTTAATCCAATTAATGAAAACAAGGCACGTATGTATTGAGTGCAGAATTAATGAACTTCTTTGGAAATGATGGCTTTAACTCCTCTGTTGTGTGGTTTTACCTTTTCCAAAATAGCCCATGCCATTGTAAATTGTGTGTAGATCTGCAGGTGAACACTATGGGTGGTTGTTTTCAAGCATTTCCACACATGCAGATGTATCTTCAGATCATTTTTGCTTTCCATTGCATGGTTGGCTCAAATGTCTATGAAGTTCCAGTGATTGAAGAATAAATAAGCAATGTGTAAACCGCACTGAACAGTAAGAAATTCCAATGCATGGAATGGAATGATGATTTTATCTTACAACAATATTGAATGAAGGGGACATCTAATTTTTCTTTGCTATTTTACAGATACATACCAACACCAAAAGACACAGAAAGGTACCAGTCATTCAAGGGGTCTCCTTCAGAGCTGCATGTGGTTGATCAGTTTATGTTAGAGGTAAGAAGGTACCGTGTTAAAAGACACCCCATGCTGTTTCTAGCACAGTCTGAGATAAAACCACTACAAGAAGCTGTTGTTCGGAACTTATAATCTCAGCCAGAATCAGTATAAGAGGATTTATATGATAAAGAGTTGAAAGAGGTAGATATTATGAAGAGAACTGTGTGGATCCCTTTGTGTCTCCAAGTCATGTGCCCTCCCCTTCCTCCAAAGTAGGAGTTGATTTATTCTGAGCTATATTTCCAAAATCCATAAGCATAACATTGTATGCATTTATCCATTATTGTTCACAAGAAATGAGTGTCACTGATTTTAATGATGTCTGGCCCTACAAGCATACAGTGTCTTATTGAATCTGCATATGCAAATGAAGCGTATTCAGATATGTGCCATAGTATATCTACAGATTAAAGCCTAGAATAAACTTAATAAATGAGTCAGAAATTAGGAAAATTATGGTGAAGCTGAATTATTCAGGAAATTATGAAACATGTGCATGTTTTGGTATTTTGGTTTTGATTCCTTCTCTGTTCAATTCTATGCAGATGTGTAAAATTCCCCACTTAAGCCAGAGGCTGGATCTCCTGCTTACTGTACGTGAGCTCCCCGTGAGCATGAGAGATTTGGAGCCTGTAAGTAACGTGACTCCTTCATAGCATGTTTGTAATCAACTTCTACCTGTTGGATGGTAGAGGGCCAAGTGGCCTCAGTGACAATTTCAAAGGTGTGTAGTTGGAGAGGTTTTGTTTGGTTTATTTCCTCTAGCAAAACGTCTTGCAGTTCATAGTGTGAGCAATTCATAGTCTAGTAATACAGGCAGCCTAGTGTATAAAAAATAATAATTCATGGCACTGTTCAAACATAACAAGCAAAAAGGTTAAAAAATATTTAAAAAAATCCCTATATGTCATGGCTTTGATAGCCAAGGAATTGTAAATTGCACGAAACTGTTAGAGACAGGCTACATGTGACATATAGTGGCACTATAGGCTAGTGCATTTGGAATATTTTTTGGGAATCCAGTTCATTTTACTGTGTTTGGTTAGTGATAGTATTCCACAGTACTGGTTCAAAACAAAACACAGTAAAAAAATAATTAAGATAAATGAGGACTATGATATGCATGTATATACATGTACGTGTATCTAATTTCATCCTTATTCTACTCAGGTTCAAGAAGCAGTTGCTAATGGGCTTGGTAGTGGGACAGACAGGGATAAAAGAACAGGGAAGGATGTTCAAGTTTTTATTTGGCATTGTTAAACTTTCCTCTTTCTTTGGCGAGTGATAAGACAGAAGCGAATTTCACCACTGAAATTCAATTCTTTTTCTGGGGAGGTTCTTGCCCCACAAGCTGAGAGAATCAATCTAAAGTCATGAATACTTAGAGCAAGTTTATTCAACCAGCATCTCAGACATTTACTATTTTCAGAAGACTGAATGAGGGTATTCACCCTAAGGATTACAGCATCTAATTGAAATATTGCAAGCCAGAGTTCAAATCTCTCTTTGCTTTTTTCAGGATGACCTAGGGGTTGGGGGGATGCAAATAAACAGTGTCCCAGTCTCATGGACTGGATCTTCCTGTTCCAAACCTCTGCCTTACCTGCCAGGGTTTATATATGCTTGCGTTCAAAACAAAGTATTTCAACACAATCTGTCTCTATGAAATTTTAACAATGTTTCAAATGTTTTGCTCTTATTCTTCATGGGAATGCAAACAAAATTTGAAGGTTCTGCAATTCTGAGTTGTTATCCTTTGTCTGGCTGTGATTAAAACCATAGTAACTGAACAAAACTCAGAAGAGGAACAGATGGAAAACACTTGGGAGATTCACAGATTTCTGACCTGCCTGGTACAATGCCACACCTTTGCTGTCCTCCACTGAAAGCAAATATTTGAATATTTGGAAGCTATTATATATACTGTTTGCTTTGAAGGCTATTTAGTGTTCATTGAAGAGCTGATTAGCTAAGTATTTTTTTTACTTATGTATGCTAACGCATGTTTGTAAAACATAGATTATACACCTAAAATTCTATGGGACTGTCTGAATTTTGGCTTTCAGCCCTGTGATGTACTATAAAAGTTTTAACAATGTCTTTCAGCTCTCCTGTGTGTCTCATCCTATCCCTGTTTTTAAATCGTTGTCTTGGTGACTGATGAACAGAGGTGTGGTGCTAAAAAAATGCACATTTCCTAATCTAAAACAAAACCACCTTTTGTGTCTATAACCCTAGAAGGGAGGTGGCTTCCCTGGGAAAATAAAAATTGATACAGAAGTTTGATTACAGGAAATTATTATTCTTCCTTGTGGGGAAACTCTGCTAAGAATTTTGATAAGATAAGTCTTCAGCTGGTATAAACAGAAGGGAGGGAGGTGAAGGATGGAGAACCTTACGCTGCGCTTCAGGCTATCTGCTTCCCCTGATGCCTGACATTTGAATGCACCAGATTGCACCAAACAGCAAAATACTTTTTCTTCAGAAGCGTTTTTAAGAGATGAGGTTGAAGGCATTTTGGCAGGGCTGGTTGGCAGCCAGAAAGGATGTGACCTCCATCGGGCACAGGGTGACTGTGCCAACACCAGCTTTATCTTGATGGGAGACTTTTAACTGGTCCTTCCTGAAAAGCCCTGGCCTGTTCCCCCAGGGAAGTTGAATAGGAAGGTGTCCATCACCTAAAGTGTGACTTGCTTCAGGTGGGGACAATGAGGCTTTTGGCAAAGGGAAGGTTTGATTGGTGCCATTGATTTATTCACATTTGCAGTTTGAACTGAAGGAAGATTTGTGTGTTTCAGCTAATAATCCAGCAAATCCAAGCAAGTAAGCAGCTGCAATCCAGCCAGAAGTTTGTTGCTGTCTTGGAGTACATTTTAGCCATTGGGAACCATTTAAATGAAAAGGCTGGAAAAGAGAAGGCTAAAGGATTTCGATTGTTGTCTTTGACCAAAGTGAGTAAATATTTTTCTTGTCATTAAAATCATCATATTATTATGTATGTTAGCGATTAATACTAACTGAGTTTTACCCTGAATGTGGGGAAAGGCAATCATTTTTAATGAGAAGCTAACGTTTTAACATCTGCTCTGGTTACACCAGAAACAAAATCCTGTTTAACAATGTGTTCTTTAATGTGTGTTATAACAAGATGCGTTTCCCCATTTGAGACAGCAGTAGTGGCTGGATGGGGGCATTGTGGTGTTGAACACACCGTGTTTCTAATGAGGTAGAACATCAAAATGCTGACTGCCCTGATATTAAGAACCCATGGCTAGAAGAGGTGTCTGAGCTGCAGGCCCCTGTAGATGGAAGTTTAGATAAACTGTATTTCGCAGTTCTGAGCAGAGCACTGTTGTATAGATCCTCTTCATTACACTGTGGTAAGAGGCTGTAACTCCGGCATTTCTTCCGTGGCAGTTGCACTTTTATGGCACTGGGGTATTTTCTTAGTGCTCCATTTTACTTCAATGCAAAGGTCTTTTGCAGTAAGTGGTACAATGCCATTTTAAGTGAAAGTTTCAGAAGTAGAATGTAAATAAATGAGTAATTTCAAAGGCAATGAAATTTGCCTGTAACGGTTTTACCTCCCCCATCACTGCTCTGCTGGATGATTGAATAGGGGACAAAGGTGGCAGTTGTGATGGGAGTTGTTTACTTTTTCCTGATAGAGATCTGCTGTACAAGAAGAATCCTCTATCTCTTAGTTCTTTAATTGTCTCTTCACTGACCTACCACTTGTGTGACATTAGGCCGAGTTTTCCATTAAGTTTAAGGAAGCTGCTTTCCCCTCTTTGTCAGAATTTGCCATCAGAAAATGCTGCTACTGAGCACTGCGTTTTTCCCCATCCTCCACCCAAAAGTGGCAGAGCATCATACTCTTATCCTGAAAAGCAAGAAATACATACAAATTTCCTAAGCTGCCTTGTACCTTTAACACTATTGTAAGATGATGACTGATCTGTAAATAGAAGAGAGAAGGATTTTGATTTTGTTTTTGTGAGGTATCTTTCCCATCTGGAGACTTTAATATATGAGTGAGTGATTTATAACTCTAGTGACAATTCTGAGACAAAACTTGCATTCTTTTTTTTTTTTTCAATAATATATATAATGGCTGTAATACCACATCTATCATAATGAAAAATGCCTACAAAATCATTTTCTGCCACAAAGCATCTTCCCAGATTCAATTAGGAACTTTACTATCTTCATGAACACAGCACACTGCTTTTAAGTGGAAAGGAATAATTACTGTGTTTGGAGGTCCAAAATCAGTTGCAATCAATTAGGATACTTTAAGTTAAAAAAGACCCCTGTGAAAAAAAGACACAAAAGAACAAGGAAGGTCAATGGATATGAAAGTGTAAAGCTGATCTTAATCAAGAATGTCTGTGAAATGGCAGATTGAAAAGGAGAAGTTTAATTTTACTATGTTTTCTATTCTTGTCGAATTTACCTGGGAGCTATCAACATACTGCTGTTTCTTTTTTTTTTTTTTTTCCTTAAAGTATAATAGCTCAGTCTGTTAATTATTGCTCTGTTCTATTTGCAGTTGCCTCTGTTGCGGGGTAAGGAAAGGACGTTCACCTTGCTTCACGCCCTTGTGGAACAGATCTTCTTACATGAGCCTGATTTGGCTAAATTTTCTCAGGAGTTGACAGAATTTGAAGCTGTTCCTGATGGTAAGAGAAGGGAGGGGAAAAAAATCAACAAATAAAAAAAATGAAGTCCTTCAACTTTTGTGGAAACTCCCATCCTCACAATATGATTCTTATTAGCATTATTTTCCCTCTCTTCCTTTCCAGCTTCCATAAAGGGCCTCAGTGCTGAAGTTGATGGTATGTAAATGTGGTTTCTAAATTCAGAGATAGATTTTCATACGTTGTGCAGTCATTTGGAACAGGTTTTCATTGCACTTCTGTAGTTTGTAAAGTGAGGTAAAGGTTCAAAACATTGAGGTAAAGTGTTGCTATGGTGATACTTAACCTGCCGTGTTACTGTGAAGAATTTTTTAAAAAAGAAATATTAAAGTGTGTCCAGGTGCTTTAGAAAAATAAAAAATATACTGCCCATGGTAAATAGAGTTTATCATAAACTACAAATGTTAAGTGATACAAGTGTCTGTCAAAGTTATGGCTGTAGCGGAGTCTCCAAGAGCAGGCAATGCAACAGGAGAAAACTTCCTACGGTACAGTTCTGAAGTTCAAGAATTTCTTTGAACCAACCTGATGTCCTTCTCGAAAAAGGAGTGAAGTTGACAGGAGGAAGAAAAGTAAGGTTGTTCAAATGTAAGGTAGCCGTTGAGAGACATTTACAAATTACCATTGAACAGAATCACAAGGTGACCAGTGAAGTCAATGGATTTTAGATGGAACCCTTTGAGAGCTGATAGAGAAGGTGTATGAGTGGATGCAAATGACTTGCATTGTGTTGAAAGTTTATAGAAAAAAAATCTGCCTTTTGAAAACGTGGCATGGATGTTGACTGTAACTACAGACCAATATATCCTATTTCAGCCTTTGATAATGTTTCTGAATGCTAGTTGCTCTCAGTTTTCGGTTTGAAAAACCCTTGCTCCTATTCTGCCGGGGTTTGGGAGTCGGCCAGGCATGTGGCTTGAGGCTACGAAAGTGTGTTTTTATTCCGTTCCAAGAAATTACAATCAACCTTTTAGGAGACATACGTAACTAAACCCAGCACTATTTACCTTCAGTCACTTGTGTTCTTTGGGGAATATGTGGGTAGCAATTCAAAATCATTAAATATCTTAAAGATGGTTTTGGAAAGTCGTGGGTAGAGATAAAATAGACACTGTACCAGAAACTGTTGGGAGCTATCAAAGGAGATTAATTATGGTAATTGGAGGAGGTTGACTGGCCTCTATTCTCCATGGATTCCTGGTGGGCCCAGCATAGATCACTCTTATCTTCTGAATCCCATTCTCCAGAACAGAGAGGGAAAGCATTGGGCCAAATGCCACTGAACCAGCCTTTCTCAGCACATCCTGTTCATCCCATGACTGTTCAAGGCACATCCTGTGGTTCATCTGCTGCAAGTATCACATGAGCACGGGAGAGGAAGATGCTAGACTGCAGCCCCTGGAGCCAGGGCTGTATTCTCTTCCCCCATTTCGCACCAGGAGAGGTCCCACGGTAGCAGTCTGATGTAGTGCTCAGTGCCAACTGACAAGATTTTTTGCTGTTACATAGAGTAGAATTTTTGCTCTTTTATCTTTAAAGGAACACCCTGAACTTTCTACACAAAAAACCATAGGTTTGAAGAATGTTATTTTCATTGCTAATCCCGATGCTCAAAGCCAGGAAAGGTCAAATTTACAGCTGCTGCATACCCATACTATTGACCTCTTCGTTATTCTGCAGTTGCTTGTGAAGTGATCACATCCTACATTTCCCCATAAGGCCTATGTCTGGTTTAGGATTTCTATTTCAAAACAGAAAGCTAATATTCCTAGATGAACATGTTATAGATACATATTCTCCTAAATTTTCCATGTGTCCTAAATGAAACATTTGCAGCCCTTGGACACAACTGTGTGCTAGTGAAATTTCTCATTTTCTTTCTCTTTTGTTAGTTTTAAAAAAAGAATTGGAAAATGTTATTCAGTGCAGGCGGCTTATTAAACCCAAGACAATCAAAGCAACACCCCAGGAGTCACAGTTCTGCAAGGAACTAAAGGTAACGTTATCACAACCCTATTGTGGGCTAGAGGTAAAAGATGAGTAATCTGTTTAATTTTTGCCAGGTCCTGCCCTGGCAAGGGGGTCAGGTGCATTTGAGGGAAAGTGGCCTTTTATTCCCCTCTGACAGTATCATACTCTAAGGGAAGGGCTTTTCAGAGTTTCTGCATCTCCTGCTTTTGCTTCACAGGCAAATGGGCTGGAGTGGATGAGGAAGAGGTAGCCCCACTCTTACTCATGATAAGTACTTTGGAATAATAGCAATTTCAGAGCATATAGGAATTTGTGATAACTTTCTCTGCCCTTGGACAGAAACACCATCCAAGGGCATGCCTTCATTGTGAGTATAGGTTGATCTAAGATGGTTCTGCCCAGGCTAGTGGCAGAATGAGGTAGGCTGGAGGTCAAAATGGGGAGGTGGCTGAGCAGGCTGGAGGGAGCCCAAGACTCAGCAGAGCCAAACATGAGCCTTATTAGCTCAGGGGTAAAGAACTTAAGTCTCAAGAGCACTGTTGTGCTGGTTATGAATGGGGCCACTTCCAGCAAGGGTGTTCCCCACTGCCATGGTGTGGACACGGTCGTCTCTGCTGTGCTTCACTGGCTACTGCTGGCTAAAACCGTGTTTCCTTCTCCCTAGGACAGCCCAATCCTATGCTTCTTCAACACATATTAAGTTGTCTTGTATATGTATATACATAATAAAGATGCAGTCTCTAAATTAATATGTATATACATAATAAATGTATATGTTACAAAGGAACTGTGATTAAGAAATTTTGTTTCAATAGTTAGGTTTCTAAGGCCTTGTTTCTGACTCAAGAACTAGCAACTGGGAGTGTTTACTTCATGTGCAAAAAATCTAGAATATGCCAGATGATGCTTATCTAGTTCTGTCAATTTTAATAGATTTAGGTAGTATCATTGGATGATACCGTAAAAAATTCTTTAACACTGAGGGGGTTTTTTTTGTGTGTGTTTGATGTCTTAATACTTGCAAGGAAATGTGTGTGCTTGATGTATGCTTATCTTTTGTGAAATGTGAAATTTTTGTGACATGAGAATTTTGACTTGAATCATCTTGTTTTCACTGCTGTTTAATTTCTGCTTTAATATTATGCTCCTATACCAAATTAAGAAGTTTTATTTTATTACAGGATTTAATTCAGAAATATGAAGGGGATCTATCCCAGCTGTCAAAAAGATGTGATGAAATGAAGAAGCTTTATAGCAACATACTGGTACGTATCACATTAAAATGCAATGAAAAGAAAGCTACATTTCTTCAAAAAAAAAAAAAAAAGGGAAGAAAGAATTGCAAGAAGTTCCCCTACTTCCACATACTTAATAGTTGTTATACTGTCCACAGAAACCCCAAAAAATTAAATAAATCACATCCAACAGTAGTGGAATATTTTGAAAGAAAATCTGGCTTTTATTTTTCCTGAGGACTTACAACCCACCCTTTAGAGGGTCTACGGCCCAAGTATCAAAAAGAAAAGCAGATGTCACCAACTTTATAAATCCAATGAGTTTAACTGTTGAATGTTTTCAACATGTTACAGAAAACATGTTATTGAAAACAACATGCTTTTCTGGTGCCTACCAGCAATCCTGTCTTTGGCTGGTAGAGAGCTGCAAATCTTTTGTTACTTGGGCTGAGGGTTTTTTCTAGTGAGGAGCTTATAGTCCATGGCATTGATTTAGCTACTGTTATTCGAATGTGAGAGAGACAGGGATAGAGATGTTAGTAGTAGCACAGATCTAAAAATGAGCAGAGCAGAAAAGCTCCACGGGCAGAAGATTTCTGATAAAGAATCTGTCTGTTCTTGTTTGTTCCTATTATACTCACCCACACTTGCACTGGAGAAGCACCTAATTTTCTCCATCATTTTTTCCTCTGAACAGAAGTAACCCATCTAGGTCCAATACACTAGAAAATAGTTTTTGGGTCAGAGGGTCACACCAGAAAGAATGATGAAAGCTCCACGCTGCAATTTTTAACAACATAGCATGTAGATTCCTTGTTTAGTACAATGTTCTTGGAGTGTGATAGAAATTCCAGGAGGTCTCTGCTATGGTAACAGTGTTCTCTCTCATCACATTCCAGAAGTGGGGAGACTTCTGCTGTAAAACCTTTGGGGGTCACTTCTTGCTTAGTGAATGGCAGAATTTCACCCATTATACCTAAAAGTCACCTTCAGAAGGAGTTGGTGTCCTGTGGCCGGTCCTGCTCGCAGAGCTGTGCCCTCCCCAGAGAGAGCTGGATGTGCCCTCCTGTGTGTGCACACTCTGCCATAGCCCTTCTGCATGGACATTGCTTCTCTCCAGCTGTGTACGTTCAGCCAGGAGGCATTACGTGTGCAATGCTGTGCTACAGACGTGTGTGAGGCCCTTTCCCTTCCTTCCTTGTATTGGAGACTCTCATCTGAGACTCTTATTTGCATTGAAAGAGGACTTAGTTTTCCATGTAGCTGGAAGTTTCCTCAAGTTTTAACCCAGCTGCTTTTTGTCCTCCCTTTCCCGTTATTCTCTCAAGTTGGGCATTTGATATATTTCTCTCATTTACAATGTTTTGGGTTTGTTTTTTTTTTTTTCCTTCGGAATAATATTATTGCTAGGCAGACCTTTTTTGCATATTTATAAAGCAGCAAAAAAGTAAAACAAATTTAAAATAGGATGGGTGATCAAAGACCAGGCTATCATCTCAACAGCGCTAGGAAGGACTAGTCCAGTTTACCTGGGGGAATAGCTGATCTAGAGATGTGTTGTAGGTAGCCATGGAAATCATGTTGCACTTAAAACAAAAATCCACAGGCCTACCTTTATGATTTTATATTCTGCTTATAAAATCAATGATGACCTTGGCATGTGACACTTCTATGGAATGAACAATAAATTGGGGATAACTGCCTGTAGTATAGCTGTGGGCTATCAACTTCTCACAGATGGTCATTAGCTCCAGGAAATGCCTCTCTCATTACTGCTTAACTGATGGTACACCATGGGTGAATGGCGAGGCATGCCAAAGATCAAGGGCTTGGAGCACCCAGGAGGTGCAATTAGGAACACAACAGGCAAAACTATTAATCAGGTGTCATTGGTTAATGTTCAAGTTTTTGTGACTGGATTATATGTGAGTGGTTTCTTTTACTGTGTTTCTGATTTCCAGGCAGAGGGTTTGCTCCAAAGAACATGTTAGATGATGTCAAAGTGAACATGCTTAGATAACAACAGATACCTGTCCAAACCTTTCCATATTTCAGTTGCAATCTGAAATACCAAAATACATCTACGTTGCTGTTCAGCCTTGGGAGAGCTGTATCCCCCAATTACAGCGTAGCTCTCAATTATAGCCAAGATAAGAACTTGTAGCAACACAAGATGCCTTTTTAGCTTTTTGATGAAGCCTTTGGAACATGTTCTCTAGATTTGTTCTGCTCAATTAGAAAGCTGTTGCAGGCAGAGTTATGTTCTTTAACTCATTGATCCCATTAAGGAGGAATCTTTGAAAACGGTGACAAACCTCTTGAATTAAACCTTAGCAAGAGATTTAATATAAAAAATCCTTTCCTGTCCCAGAGCTGGAGAACCTATGTGGAACTGATTTTAGTTAATGCAGGAATCCCTCTCCTAGTGCTGAACTTTGTAGACTGCCTTCTGCCTGCTCTTTTACAGCGGAGCAGACATGATGCCAGTACTGGTCACGGCTTTTTCAAAAACTTTCCATCTGTTCACCTTTTTCAAGTGAAGGAAAGAAGAAAACAGGGAAAAGTGGCTCTGCTAAATCACTTTTCCTTCCAAAAATGTCTGCTTCCCTGTGAATATTTTTGTTTGTTTGCTGAGCAAAATGTCAAAAAAGGAAAACCTTTTGGCTTGAACGTGTTGCTGCCATGCCCACCACGGAGTAGAAACCGTTTCCCTAATGTACGCATTTTCTTTTATGAACGAACACCACGGAGTAGAAACCGTTTCCCTAATGTATGCATTTTCTTTTATGAACGAACATTTTCTTTTATGAACGAATTGTTTTACCTAACAATCTGCAGAGCCAGGAAGCTTCATGATTTACTGATTTTTCTCCAGCTGGAGATCTATAGTCCAGCCAGAGAGACTGGGTTATACAGAAAGCCAGGTTACTGAGGGAATTCATTGACAACTCCTGGGACCATTTTTGCTTGGGATGTTTTGGATCTCAGTTCTCTGGAGATTTTAGCCAGCTCTAAATTTTTTTAAAATTATTATTATTATTCAAGGTATTTAACTTTTCTTTTGCTCTTGTAATTTCATTAAGATCCTGGACATAGTTTAGATCACTTAGATATATGAATGTTAAATATTCTTCTCTTTCAAATTTACAGGTAAAATTTGGGGAGCCGCAAGATGTAGACTCTCAGGAACTATTTGGATGGATATCTTCATTCATTAGTGAGTTTAGGAAAGCCTGCGCTGAAGTCATGCCATAAGGACAATACAAATCTTACAAAGAGGTGAGGGAAAGAGAAGCCCAGAAAACAATGTTTAAGTTAATTGGTTTGAAAATTTTTCTACTAATAAGTAGGACATAGACCATATATAGTCTGTACTACAGTATACCTTGATTTTTAAGGGACATTCAGTTTATAATACGTAATTTGTAAGTGGTATTTGACTTGTAGGATCACATATCACTTCTGAACCTCTCCCTTATTTTTTCTGGTATATGTGCTGCTGTACCTTGAGATGCCTGTATATTTAGAAAGGAGACACTTTTGACATTTTATAATTTCTCTTTTTAATCTTTTCCTTTGATACCCAGTCTGCTGACTGAGTTTTAACTATTACTTTCAGTGCATAAGTTTCTGTATGATAATCTAATTTTTAATTTTTTTTGGTGTAGTTTTCTAAATAATACTTCTAAAGTTTTATAATGAAATGGAAAGCTGTTACCCACAGAGGACAATATTTAGCAAAAATTCTTATGTGTCATTCTGCTATTAAAGCAGCCTCAGCATGTAATGGAGAAAGTGTCTAGCTGGATGTTGGTTTTGTTTTTTTTTAACCCCAGAAGTAGTACCATAAAATAGTGCTTTTTATGGCTAATGTCATGTATTCGGGTAAAATACTATAGAATTCAATCAATACGTGAGATTTGCATTGACAGGAAGAGAAAAATATCAGAGAAGCAAAATAAAAACGTGTCGTGAAGCATCTAAGTAATGGATAGTGGAGGTAATTATCCCTGGTTTTCAAAAGAGAAAATACTTCTGTTGCATTTGTTGGCTTTTACATATTTTTAATTAGAATAATTATCTGGAGCTCAAATATACGAGAAGAAAAGGAGGCCTATAAATGCAAAGACAAAATGGATGTTTTTAACATTGAAAGCATAAAATAGTTCTAAGAGGTCATTGATAATATTTAGCATTTTCTCTACAAGTTTTGCAAACAGTGTTTTTAAGAAATAGTGTATTACCTGACTTATTTTAAGTCTGATTGCCTGGGTCTCACAGTGTTTGGGCTTTGATAGAAGTGCTGAACGTTCTTCCTACCTTCAGTGCTAGAAGGAGTTAGATGGTTCCTTACAGCTTAGATGCACCTACATCTAAAAATTGCATTATCACAACCCTCTCTCTAGCTGGCATATACAATTTCTCTATATCCAGCATTTCATTTGCTGTTCTGGATGTGACCACTGCTGAACATCCAGGTATGTAGAGAAAGCTCCAACAAGGAGCCCGGGCACCCACCAGCTTCCTGCTGCTGCAATGCCTTTAGTGTCATGCCAGACAGTAAAGGACAATCACCAGGAATGCAGAGACACTTGGACACTGTCTGGAATGCAGAGATGAAAGAAGGCCAAGATTTTGTTCTTGTCTTGGCCTCAGTACTTTAAAGGGCATCACAGGCTGCAGTTCCTGGGAAGTTACAGCTTCTGATGTACCATGACTGGCAGCACACCCCTATGTGAAAAGCCAGAAAAGTGTTCCTGCAGCAAATGTGCCCATCACCAAAGGCAAGGGCTTCATTTCCCATCAACCTTGATAAATCTGCTGAGGGAAGGGGATGCAGCTGAACCCCTGCCCTTCTCGAGTGCTCCTGGTTGAAAGCTGAATCTGTTCCTGGGGGCAGGTGCACACAACTTCTGCTTCAAAGATGTGAGCAGGGATCATAAGTGCTCTTTTAAAATGATAGTTGCCACCTCTGTTTTGAGAAATCACTGAGGAAGTGAAACTCCCCAAAGGTTTCAAATCCTTATAATCCTCCTCTCAAAGGGGTGCTCTGGCCAAAAAGGTGCCCTGAGCAGTCAGCATCTCATTCCTGGCCAGTAAGCAAAAGCTCAGGGAATTGTCTTCAACAGGAGGAATTAGGTGTTATGCAAAGGGGATGAGCAAAGACGCTACTTCTCTTCCAGCTTTGTGAGAAGCAAACCTGGCACCAGTTGTGAATGCCAGTGGGCTTTTGTTGCTTAACTTCTCTGCCTTAAAGCCACCTCTCATCTTAGAGGATGCCTAAAAAGATCTTTGAGGAAGAGGCTCAACAGATGATGTCTTTTATATGCTCCATATCATCTTCCAGACACTTACCTATCATAGAATCACAGAATGGGTAGAGTTGGAAGGGACCTTAAAGATCATCAAGTTCCAACCCCCTGCCCCAGGCAGGGACGCCTCCCACCAGACCAGGTTGCTCAAAGCCCCATCCAGCCTGGCCTTAAACACTTCCAGGGATGGGGCAGCCACAGCTTCTCTGGGCAACTTGTTCCAGTGCCTCACCATCCTCACAGGAAATAATTTATTTCTGGTATCTAATCTAAATCCCCCCTCTTCCAATTTAAAACCATTACCCCTTGTCCTGTCTCTGCTTTCTGACAAAGAGTCCCTCTCTGGCTTTCCTGTAGCTCCCTGTCTTGTGAGGTAGAGGATGCCTGAGCTGGAGCTCTGCACTGGAGCAGCAGCAGAGGACCCAGTGTGTCTCCTCAGCTTTGTACCACCGGTGTTGTTGCCATTCGTAAGCTCTTGCATGTCCACACTAAGAAGTGCATCATTTTGGCTTCTCAACAGCCTTCTCAGGACTATGCTTCCTGTTATGAACATGCAGTCGAGTTTCTCAGAGGCAAAAGGAATAAAATAAAATTTAAAAAAGAGCAAAATTAGTACCCCTGATACTTATTTTACAGAAAATTATTTACAGAAGCAAATAAAAGGATTTAATTTTACAGAGAACATATTGGCTATATTTGCCTCAGATCAGCATCAGTGCAGTGACATCTGGTTGGTGTCAGGAGCTACAGCTTACATCACTCATTTCTGATAGAAAGAGGAAAATTAAATTCCTTTTTAATTTCTTGCATGTCTATACCACAATGCCCTATACGGTGCATGTACCTGCACTGTAAACAATGCTTGCAGTTTTTGATGTGTGTCGTTACTGCTCCAAAATCTGAACCATCTTCATTTATATGTGAATCATGTAAGATAATCCTGAATACAAGTGCCATTTCCATGGTATCAAGATCCCTGCATCCCTGAACAGTATTCGTGATGGTCATGATAAGTTTCATGTTTTTCTACTATTACTTTAGCTCAGGAGTCCTGGGAAGTCTCTTTTAACTAAATAGTTTTTTCTCTTTTTTTTTTTTTTTCATGACTCACTTTTTTTCCCCTAGTCTTTTTTCTCTATTATTATATCTAACAGCTTGTACTTGTTTTATAGCTCAGCTGGCATGGCCTCTTCCAATTAAAAATATATTCTACACAGTAGTCGATATCTGTGTCTTTGTGTGAATATCCTGGAGCGTTAATTTAAAAAATTAATGTCCAAATACCTTCTTGGCAAGAAGTCCTAGCCCCTTCAGAGAGCACAAAGCTTTCCTATGGAGTGGTTGCTTACTGAGGAGACACGTTTCAATTTTCTCAAACAAGCTATTTCTTCAGTGCCTGTGAGTTTCAGAGACCTCCTGATTTATATGTAAAAATAAATAAATAGATCTTATTGCCTACCTCATTCTTTTTTCCCCAAGTGTTATTTTGCATAAGTCTGGGTTTTACAAGTCTCTTCAAGTCAACTCTATTACTAAGTTTTAGTGGTATAAAGAGTAACAGTTGCTACACCTCAACATTTATTTGGAATTAAACAGACGAGCTCTAAGTCTCCCTGTGGAAAATGTCTGTGGAATCCTTCCTTAGCAGCTGCCAGTTTTATCCCACAAACCTGTACTCATAATAGTCAGTGTCGGGTGAGTATTCTGTGGAAACTAATGCAATTGGGAGCACTCCGACAAGTAGCAACCTCCAAGAACTGTAGTATTTTTACACCTGGGTTATTTGTCTCCCCACAAAGCTGACATTTGGTATATTATGAAATATGAAAACTTAATGATGACGTTATTGAAGTAGTTCTGCTCAGTAAAATTTGTCTTAATATTCAGTTCTGTGAAGTAAGGCTGTGAATCAAATGCTGTACTGATTTTTCTTTCATGACAGCTCAGCTGTGTAAGGAAATAGAGATATCTCTTGAAAGTTTCTTTGCTTAAAATGGTGCTAGTGTGTGCAGTACTTTGGCAAGAACAGGAAAGATAATTTCTGGATCTCATATTAAATATTAGTTGTCTCTAGCAAAAGTGTGATGGAGGGAAGCCCCACACCCTGGGGCTCCCCATAGAAATCTCTGACTTGATCTTCCTGCCCAGAGTCTCTGTGTATTCAAATCCGCCCCGAGAAATGCTGTAAAAAGCTGAACTCATATAGGCACAGGTCACAGAACTGACTTGAGCTCCCAGAGGAGCGGTGTTACATGTGTACCACCACTCACAAGGGTTTTTCAAGAACTCACCGTTTGAAATACAAGTAATTTCCCCCAGAGAGAGAAATTTCCCAGAGTTGCCTCAAACCAAAAATGTAAAAAGCTGAGATTATCCAACGCTAGACTCAGTGGAAAAAATTTAGCTTCCACAAATGGACAATTGTATCCTAGGAGAGTGGCTGAACTTTGCTTTTCAGTCTTTTCTTTTTTTTTTTTTCTTTCTTATTTGAACTGCTAGATGACCGGGCAACAGGCAGCATGTGCCTGCTAATTTGTTTAAATGAACAGTAAAGCAAAAATAAAACTTGTGATCACTTGTAAGGTGTTCTGTGCATAAAAGCTTTAAAGTCACTTATGTATGCTGTTCTCCTAGTTTGAATTAATGCTTTTCAAATACAAACAGCAATTGTAGGAGGAGAAAAAAACTGTTAGATGAAATGAATAAAAACATGGGGTCTCTAAAAGGGAACCTGTTGTGCATTCCCTATACAACAACTAAAGCCTGAAAGTATACGTAGAAAATACTTGCTCCTGTCCTTAAGAAGTTGCTGCTAATGATGACTCAGAAGAACCACAAATAAATTTCAAGCTGCTTGCCTTAAAGAAGAATATATGAAAGCATTCAAACTGCGTGCTGCTTTGAGGAAGTGCTGAGGTGCTCCGGCTCAAAGAGGGACTCAAA